AAACTGCCACTGCTTTCTGAGCACCAAAACACTGGAATGTAGAGACTGAGAGAAATGAATGAAAATATCCAACATGTCATCGGGCTGTGACTGGTTATGACTGGGTTTCGACACGCATCGTTTGATATTTGAAGAACAAAGTTGGAAGAATCGTACCAAAGACTCCCTTTTCAGGTAAAGAGAAGATAAATTGCACATTTGCTGCTGGGAAGAAGATAGCTAACGTTTGCTAGCTAGCTATCGTTTCTTTCAATGGGATTATAGGCACCTTGAGTACATCCCATTTAACCCAGTTTAGTAAACTCAAAGCTGGTCAATCTACGTTATGGTAAACTAGGTCCAAGGATTAAGATTTACTAAAATAGCTAGCTAGTCGCGCTGCTAACTCTAGCTAACCAGATAGTTAGCTAACGTTAGTTTGCTAATTTAGTAACAAGTAGCTAACACGTTATGCTAACTAGCTAGCTACATCAGAAAGGGTTGAAACTCCATTATCTTTCGTTGTTGCTGACGCATTAGCTACGAATCAAAATGAGACCCTCAACTACCCTAAATGTGATTATCTAGAAGAAGAAAAAAACTCCTTGCTACATGTGGCGCTTGCTGTATCTATTGTAATGCTACGTTAGCCAGTCAGCTAGCTAGCAATTAAACTCTTCTTCTTCGTGTGAATTTCCGGCAGATTAGACGCTGCATTGCGTATTGCTGCCTTTCGCAGGTCGGAGTGTGGATTACACATTTTGGTAAAAAGGGGAATGGGAAAATCTTAAATTGCATCACCATCTAACCCTTCACCAGTGAAGGCTGCTGAGGAGAGAACTGCTCATAAATGGCTGGAATGGAGTGTAGTGTGGTCCTCTGTAGCTCAGCTGGTAGAGCATGGCGCTTGTAACGCCAAGGTAGTGGGTTCGATCCCCGGGACCACCCATACACAAAAAAAATTATGCACGCATGACTGTAAATCGCTTTGGATAAAAGCGTCTGCTAAATGGCATATTATTTATTTATTTTATTTAATGGATGGAATGGAGTGAATGCATTATTAGACCCATGGGCGGCGCACAATTGGTCCAGCGTCGTCCAAGGTAGGGGAGGGTTTGGCCGGCAGGGATGTGGGTTCGTTTCTCACGGGGGGCCAGTATTAAAAAAACTAAAACATGTATGCACTCACCAACTGTAAGTCGCTCTGGATAAGAGCGTCTGCTAAATGACTTAAATGTAAATGTAATGCAATGGTAGCAAACCCATGAAAACCATGTTTTTGATACCATTCCATTTACTCCATTCCAGCCGTTATTATGAACCGTTCTCCCCTCAGCAGCCTCCACTGCCCTGCACCTATACACTGTCCCCCCCCCCAAAAACCCACCACCTCATCCCACTACTTTGGCCCTAAATAATCCTACACCAGGCTGTCAGCCTGGGAGGATGGAACTCCTTCTCTTAAAAACTTCCTGTAGATCTTCTGCACTAAAATCTCTCACACCCAAATATTTTCTCTGCTGCTGCAACTACCACATATGTCTTCTGGGATTTCCGCTCCATCAGCGCAGTGCAGTTGATCACCATGGCGATAAACGCAAGAAATCCAACGTTACTAAAACTCACCCTCTCTGGATCTCTCTGTTCAGGCCTACTTACTGGGCGGGGCTCCCAGTTGAATCACTCACCCTTGGACTACCCTCTACTCTCTTCACTGCCTCAGCATTGGAAACTTTCTGCCCCACTCGAACTCTGGACATCTCAACCTCTCTCTCACAGGGGCGCTTGGGAGCCTCCAGCTGCATGGGCGCCCCCACAGTTGACACGCAGCGCTTTCTCTTATCCCAACTGTACACTCCCTCTGACTGTGACCTCCTGCACATCTCCATCTGACTGTGACCTCCTGCACATCTCCCTCTGACTGTGACCTCCTGCACATTTCTCCCTTCTACACACTGCTGCGACGTGTCTGAATCCTTGGCACCTAAAGCACCGTAGCGGGTTCGGAACATAGCCCCTTACAGAATAGCAAATATAACCTAACCTGACCTTTATCATGTAGAAACTCTGTGTCAAAGCTCAACAAGACAGACAGGGTATTCTCAGTCTCGCCATTTCCACCGGGTCTACGTCTCCCCAAAACGGCGGGCGTCAAAAAACACTAGGAATATTATTTATCATTTTGATCCATCTCTACACTCAACGCTACCCCACGACACAGGTTGAGCCCCGAGACGTGTGACGTGAAGCGCCCGCTTCCTCTGGCCGGAGGATGCACGAAAAATGTAAACAATTCCTCTTCTCGAAACTTTCACAGATGTAACCATTTCCAGTTTGTCCTTTACCCAGCTTGACACAACATATGGGTTGGCCAAAAAGCAGGAATCCACTCTTTCCAAACATCTCGCTCCAACCGGTCCACAATCATCCCTGGTAGGATTCTCAGGGTAAACGTTGGAAGTCTCTACCACACCTGTCGCCTCAGGAATGCCCACTTCATCCTGGTCTGACTCAACTTCAGAGCGCTCACCACTGGCGACCAACTCCATTTCCAGATCCTCAAGGTTCTCAAGAGAGCATGTAGACATGTAGAAGTAAGTTTACTTGGTTTGTACTCAGGAGATGAAGGTATGTACTCAGGAGATGAAGGTCTGTACTCAGGAGATGAAGGTATGTACTCAGGAGATGAAGGTCTGTACTCAGGAGATGAAGGTATGTACTCAGGAGATGAAGGTCTGTACTCAGGAGATGAAGGTCTGTACTCAGGAGATGAAGGTCTGTACTCAGGAGATGAAGGTATGTACTCAGGAGATGAAGGTCTGTACTCAGGAGATGAAGGTATGTACTCAGGAGATGAAGTTCTGTACTCAGGAGATGAAGGTCTGTACTCAGGAGATGAAGGTCTGTACTCAGGAGATGAAGGTATGTACTCAGGAGATGAAGGTCTGTACTCAGGAGATGAAGGTCTGTACTCAGGAGATGAAGGTCTGTACTCAGGAGATGAAGGTTTGTACTCAGGAGATGAAGGTATGTACTCAGGAGATGAATGTCTGTACTCAGGAGATGAAGGTCTGTACTCAGGAGATGAAGGTCTGTACTCAGGAGATGAAGGTATGTACTCAGGAGATGAAGGTCTGTACTCAGGAGATGAAGGTCTGTACTCAGGAGATGAAGGTATGTACTCAGGAGATGAAGGTCTGTACTCAGGAGATGAAGGTCTGTACTCAGGAGATGAAGGTCTGTACTCAGGAGATGAAGGCATGTACTCAGGAGATGAAGGTCTGTACTCAGGAGATGAAGATCTGTACTCAGGAGATGAAGGTCTGTACTCAGGAGATGAAGGTCTGTACTCAGGAGATGAAGGTATGTACTCAGGAGATGAAGGTCTGTACTCAGGAGATGAAATGATGTACTCAGGAGATGAAGGTCTGTACTCAGGAGATGAAATGATGTACTCAGGAGATGAAGGTATGTACTCAGGAGATGAAGGTCTGTACTCAGGAGATGAAATGATGTACTTAGGAGATGACGTTATGTACTCAGGAGATGAAGGTATGTACTCAGGAGATGAAGGTCTGTACTCAGGAGATGAAGGTCTGTACTCAGGAGATGAAGGTCTGTACTCAGGAGATGAAGGTCTGTACTCAGGAGATGAAGGTCTGTACTCTTACCATGCTCTGTGGATGCATACCTGGGGCGTATTCGTTATGCCGATTCTGTTGCAAAACATTTCTTAAACGGAAAGCAAACGGAATTAAACAGCGAGGGACCTAGCTAAAAATCAAATCAAATGTTATTGGTCGCATACACATATTTATCAGATGTTATTGCGGGTGTAGTGAAATGCTTGTGTTCCCAGCTCCAACAGTGCAGTAATATCTAACAATACATACACACAAATCTAAAAAGTAAAAGAACGGAATTAAGAAATATAGAAATATTAGGACGAGCAATGTCGGAGTCCTACCTGCATTTGTCAAATAGAAACTCTTGTTTTGCAACCGTTTGGACTAATGATTAGGCCCTACACCCTGGGTTTGCAGGGCAGATTCAGTTGTTGTCACACGTTTTATTGCTGTGTCTTAGCTACTATGATGCAATATATTTTCTTCAACAGAGACCCCCCCCCCCCCCCCCCCCCGGAATAAGACGGCCAACAATGGGTCTGTTTGACAAACTGGCTGGCTGGCTGGGGCTGAAGAAGAAGGAAGTGAACGTCCTGTGTCTGGGACTGGACAACAGTGGGAAGACCACTATCATCAACCAACTCAAACCATCCAATGTAAGTCTACACTAGTAGCCTGGATCAGTTAGGAACCTACTTCCTTAATGAACTAGATGAGAATGGGTTAGTGGTTTGCTGTGATATATAGTATGGTCATATAAAGTCACATATACAGGTGTAAGAAATGACAACATTAGTAGACAGGAGTAGAGTAACTCATTATAGTTAGTGGTTAGGGAGAGAGGAGGAGATGGAGGGAGACAGGAGTAGAGTAACTCATTATAGTTAGTGGTTAGGGAGAGAGGAGGAGATGGAGGGAGACAGGAGTAGAGTAACTCATTATAGTTAGTGGTTAGGGAGAGAGGAGGAGATGGAGGGAGACAGGAGTAGAGTAACTCATTATAGTTAGTGGTTAGGGAGAGAGGAGGAGATGGAGGGAGACAGGAGTAGAGTAACTCATTATAGTTAGTGGTTAGGGAGAGAGCAGGAGATGGTGGGGGAGAGGAGGAGATGGAGGGAGAGAGGAGGAGATGGAGGGGGAGAAGGAGAGATGGAGGAGGAGATGGAGGGAGAGAGGAGGAGATGGAGGAGGAGATGGAGCTGGTGGGGAAAGGAGGGATGCAGGGGTAGAGGAGGAGATGAGGATGAGAGGCGGAAGATGGAGATTGTGGAGGAAAAAGGAGGAGAGGGTGGGGGAGAGGAGGAGATGGAGGGAGAGAGGAGGAGATGGAGGGGGAGAGGAGGAGATGGGGGGAGATGAGGGGAGGGAGGGAGGAGAGAGGAGGAGCAGGAGATGGAGAGGAAGGGTAGAGGAGGGGATGGAGGGGGAGAGGAGGAGTGGAGAGAGGAGGAGATGGAGGAGGAGATGGAGGAGGAGATGGAGAGAAGAGAGAGGGCCGAGTGGAGGGAGAGAGGAGGCGATGGGAGGGGGAGGGATGGAGGGAGAGAGGAGGAAGATGGAGGGGAGAGGAGGGATGGAGGGCGAGATTGGAGGGAGAGAGAGGAGATGGAGGGAGAGGAGGCGGAGGGAGATGGAGGGAGAGGGAGAGATGGGGGGAGATGGAGGGAGAGAGGAGGGGAGATGGAGAGGAGAGGAGTAGATTGGAGGGGTATTGGATGGAGAGAGGAGGAGAGGAGGGGGAGGAGGAGGAGATGAGGGGAGAGAGAGGAGGAGATGGAGGAGGGAGAGAGGAGGAGAGGGAGAGATAGGGAGGAGAGGAGAAGAGGTAGAGATTAGAGAAGTGCTGCTATAGGAAGAGAGGTCATGGATGGATGGATGTTATTCCTGTGTAATTAACCACAAAATTCTATCCTGTGTAATTAAACCAACAAACTAATTATTCCGGTGTAATTAACCACAAATAGTTATTTCCTGGTAATTAACCACAAACTAATATATTCAGGTGTAATTAACCAGCAACTAATCTATTGATTAGTAATAACCACAACTAATCTTATTCCTGGTTTATTAACCACAAACTAATCTATTGATTTAGTAATTAACCACAACTAATCTATGATTAGTAATGTAACCAAATAAGCTAGTGATTAGTAATAGACCACAACTAATCTATTCCTGTGTAATTAACCCTACTAATTCTATTGATAGTAAGTAAACCACAACTAATTATTCCTGTGTAATGACCACAATAATCTATTGATTAGTAATTAACCCACACTCATCTATGCCGTGTAAGTAAACCAACAACTAATCTATTGATTAGTAATTAACCACAACTAATCTATTGATTAGTAATTAACCACAACGAATCTATTGATATGTAATTAACCACAACTAATCTATTGATTAGTAATTAACCACAACTAATCTATTGATTAGTAATTAACCCAACTAATCTAGAGTAATTAACCACAACTAATCTATTGATTAGTAATTAACCACAACTAATCTATTGATTAGTAATTAACCACAACTAATCTGTTTTTTTTTTTGATTCGTAATTAACCACAACAAATCTATGCATGTTAATTAACACAACTACTCTATGATAGTAATAACACAACTAATCTATTGAGTAGTAATTAACCACAACTAATTCTATTGATTAAGTAATTAACCAAACTAATCTATTGATTAGTGAAGAACCACACAACTAATCATTGATTAGTAATGCCCACAAGAATTATTGATTAGTAATAAACCACAAATAATCTAGTGTAGTAATTAACCACAACAAATATTGATGTGTAATTACCACAATAATGTATTCCTGTGTAATTAACCACAACTAATCTATTGATTAGTAATTAACCACAACTAATCTATTCCTGTGTAATTAACCACAACTAATCTATTGATTAGTAATTAACCACAACTAATCTATTCCTGTGTAATTAACCACAACTAATCTATTGATTAGTAATTAACCACAACTCAATCTATTGATTAGTAATTAACCACAAAACTCAATCTATGGAGTAAGTAATAACCACAACTTAATCTATTGATTAGTAATTAACTACAACAAATCTATTGATGTGTAATTAACCACAACTAATCTATTGATTAGTAATTAACCACAACTAATCTATTGATTAGTAATTAACCACAACTAATCTATTGATTAGTAATTAACCACAACTAATCTATTGATTAGTAATTAACCACAACTAATCTATTGAGTGTAATTAACCACAACTAATCTATTGATTAGTAATTAACCACAACTAATCTATTGATTAGTAATTAACCACAACTAATCTATTCCTGTGTAATTAACCACAACTAATCTATTGATTAGTAATTAACCCAACAATCTAGTGTTAGTAATAACCACAACTAACTATGATAGTAATACACAACATAATCTATTGATATAATTAAAACCCAACTATCTATGCTTAGTAATTAACCACAACTAATCTATGTTAGTTAAATTAACCCAACTAATCATTGATGGTAATAACCCCAACTAGTTATCCTGTGTAATTAAACCACATAATCTATTGATTAGTAATTAACCAAAACAATCTAGTGATTAGGAATTAACAACAACTAATATATGATTTAGTAATTAACCACAACAAAATCTATTCATGTGTAAATTAAACCACAAAACTAATGTATCCTGTGTAATACCACAAACAATAGCTTCTGGTGAATTAACCACACTAATCTATTGTGTGTATTAACAACACTAATTCTATCCGGTGTAATTAACAACAAACTAATCTATTGATTAGTAAGTAACCACAAATAATATATGATTAGTAATTAACCACAACCATATATTCCTGTGTAATTAACCACAAAACAATCTATTCCTGTTGTAAGTAACCAAAAATTAATCTATGATTAGTGTAATTAACCACAACTAATCTATTCCTGTGTAATTAACCACAACTAATCTATTCCTGTGTAATTAACCACAACTAATCTATTGATAGTTAATTACACCAAAACTAATTCTTCTGTGTTAATTAAACCCAACTAATCTATTGATTAGTAATTAACCAAAAAACCTTTTTTTTTAAAAAAATCCTATTCCTGTGTAATTAACAATAATAATTCTACTGTTAGTAATTAACCACAACTAATCTATTCCTGTGTAATTAACCACTACTAATCTATTGATGTGTAATTAACCACAACTAATCTATTCCTGGGTAATTAACCACTACTAATCTATTGATTTGTAATTAACCACAACTAATGTATTCCTGTGTAATTAACCAACAAAAATTATATGATTAGTAATTAACCACAACAAATCTATTCCTGTGTTGTAAATTATTAACCATTACTTAATCTATTGAAGTAATAACCCCAACTAAGTATTCCTGTGTCAGCAGGCCCAGACACAAGACATCGTCCCAACCATTGGCTTCAGCATAGAGAAGTTCAAGACATCAAGGTAATTCATGATGTGTATTTGTTTTAGAGACAATAATGGATGTATGTACGATGATCAGATGTTCAAAGCTATACCTTGAAGGTTGTGGGGGGAACATTGTCTTAACGTTACCAGTACCATATCCTTGGATGTGTCCCAAGGGGAGCCGATTCCAAACATAGTGCAAAGATATTCTATCCAGTTCTTACTAAAGCCATCTCTTCTCTAAAGTCTTCTAAGCCATCTCTTATCTCCAGTCTTATAAAAGCATTATTCTCTCCAGTCTTAAGCATCTCTTCTCTCAGTCTTCTAAAGCCCTCTTCTTCTCTCCAGTCTCAAAAGGCAATCTCTTCTCGCAGTTTTCTAAAGCCGTGTCTCTTCTCTACAGTTTCTAAGCATCTGATTCTCTCCAGTCTTCTAAATCAATCTCTTATCTCCAGTCTCTAAAACTCTCTCTTCTCAGTCTTATAAAGCTTATTCTCTCCAGTCTTCTAAATCATCTCTTCTCTCAGTCTTCTAAAGCCATCCTTCTCTCAGTTTCAAAGAAATCTCTTCATATCAAGTCTCTTATAAGCCATATATTCTCTCCAGTCTTCTTTTCCTAATAGCCAATCTCTTATCTCCAGTCTTCTTTATAAGCCACTCTTCTATCCCAGTCTTTTTCTAAAGCATCTCTTCTCTCCAGTATTTATTCTAAAGCCATCATATTCTCCCAGTCTTATTCTAAGCCATATCTATCTCCAGCTTCTTCTAAAGCCATTCTCTTATATCCAGATTCTTCTAAAGAAATCTCTTCTCGTCCAGTGCTTCTTAAAAGCCTATCTCTTCTCTCCAGTCGTCTTCTAAAGCCATCTATTCTACCAGTCTTCTTCCTACAAGCCATATCTTCTCTCCAGTCTTCTTCTAAAGCCAGATCTCTCTCCAGTCTTCTTACTTAAAGCCATCATCTTCTCTCAGTCTTCGTCTTATTTAACGACATAGTCTCTACATCTTCTAAAGCCATTCGATTCCTCCAGTCTTCTTCTAAAGCCATCTCTTCTCTCCAGTCTTCTTCTAAATCCATCTCTTCTCTCCAGTCTTCTTCTAAATCCATCTCTTCTCTCCAGTCTTCTTCTAAATCCATCTCTTCTCTCCAGTCTTCTTCTAAATCCATCTCTTCTCTCCATCTTCTTCTAAATCCAATCTTTCTCCTCTAAGGCTTCTTCTTAAATCAATTATCTTTCTCTCCAGTCTTCTTCTAAATACATATCTTCTCTACCAGTCTTCTTCTAAAGCAATCTCTTATCTACGTATTCTTTAAATAATCCATCTCTTCTCTCAGTATCTATTCTAAAGCCATCTCTTCTCTCCATCTATAAAGCCCATATCTTCTCTCCAGTCTTCTTCTAAAGCCATCTCTTCTCTCCAGTCTTCTTTAAAGCCATCTCTTCTATCCAGTCTCTTCTAAAGCCATTCGTTCTCCAGTATTCTCTAAGCATCCTTCTCTCCAGATATTCTTCAAAAGCCTCTCTTCTTCTCCAGTCTTCTAATCCATTCTTCTCTCCAGTCTATTATAAAGCAATCTTTTCTCAGTCTTCTCTAAAAGCCATCGCTTATCTCAAGTCTTCTAAATCCAGCTTTCTCTCCAGTCTTCTTCTAAAGCCATATCTTCTCTACAGATTTTATAAAGCCATCTCTTCTCTCAGTCGTCTTTAAATCAATTATCTTATCTCCAGTCTTCTTCTAAAGCCATCTCTCTCTCCAGTCTTCTTCTAAATCCATCTCTTCTCTCCAGTCTTCTTCTAAAGCCATCTCTTCTCTCCAGTCTTCTTCTAAAGCCATCTCTTCTCTCCAGTCTTCTTCTAAAGCCATCTCTTCTCTCCAGTCTTCTTCTAAAGCCATCTCTTCTCTCCAGTTTTTATAAAAGCATCTCTTCTCTCAAGTCTTCTAAGACATCTCTTCTCCTAAAGTCTTTCTTCTAAAGCCATCTCTTCTCTCCAGTCTTCTTCTAAAGCCATCTCTTCTCTCCAGTCTTCTAAATCCATCTCTTCTCTCCAGTCTTCTTCTAAAGCCATCTCTTCTCTCCAGTCTTCTTCTAAATCCATCTCTTCTCTCCAGTCTTCTTCTAAATCCATCTCTTCTCTCCAGTCTTCTTCTAAAAGCCATCTTTCTACTCAAGTCGTATTCTAATCCTCTTTCTCTACCAGTCTTCTTCTAAAGCCATCTCTTCTCTCCAGTCTTCTTCTAAAGCCATCTCTTCTCTCCAGTCTTCTTCTAAAGCCATCTCTTCTCTCCAGTCTTCTTAAGAAAGCCATATCTTCTTCTCCCAGTCGGATTCTAAAGGCAAATCTCTTCTATAGTTTATTAAATCCATCTCTTATTCAGTCTTCGTTCTAAGCTCTCTTCTCTCCAGTCCTTTTCCTATCTAAAGCATCTCTTTCTCTCCAGTCGTATTCTAAATCCAATCTCTTCTTACAGTCTTTTATCTAAAGCATCTACTTCTCTCCAGTCGTCTTCTAAATCCATCTCTTCTCTCCAGTCTTCTTCTAAAGCCATCTCTTCTCTCCAGTCTTCTTCTAAAGCCATCTCTTCTCTCCAGTCTTTACGCCATCTCTTATCTCCAGTTCGTTCTAACATCATCGATTCTCTCCAGTCTCTTCGAAATCAATTCTAGTCTCTCCAGTCTTCTTCTAAAGCCATCTCTTCTCTCCAGTCTTCTAAAGCCATCTCTTCTCTCCAGTCTGTCCTTCACAGTGTTCGACATGGCTGGCCAAGGGAGATACAGAAACCTCTGGGAGCATTACTACAAGTGAGTCTGTTCACTTTACCAGCGCATACACACACACACACACACACACACACACACACACACACACACAACACACACACAAATACAGCGATACACACAACAAACACACACCACACACACACACAAAACACACCACACACAATACAGCGATACCACACACACCACACACACACACACACAGTGATACACACACACACACACACACACACAACACACCCACACACACAACACACACACACACACACACACAACACAAAGTGATAACACAAACACACACAACCACAACATACAGGACCACACACACATACAGTGAATACCACAGACACACACCACCACAAGGACACACACAGTGATAAACACACCAAAGTGACACACTGACACACACAACAGTGTCAAACGCACACACACACAAACGGTGATGCACACCATACTGATCTCCTACTGGTGCTAACACAGGGTAGGTAGTAATGGTAGTGGAATCTGTTTACCCTAACCCCTTCCCCCCCAGGGAGGGTCAAGCCATAATTCTTTTTCGGTGGTGGAAATATGGAGACAAAATGTTGAGGATGGGGGGGGTACAAGAAGAAATGGATACGTCCTCACCACCCAGGGAATCATCCTCCCACATTAATAACCTCCTAAACCACCCAGGTGAATTCATCATCCCTTATACACCTCCTCAACCACCCAGTGTGGAATCACCTCCACAATTATACGCTCCTCAACCAACGGTGAAATCACCCTCCCAATTATACAACTCCTCAACCACCCAGGGGAATAATCCTCCACATTTATACGCTCCTCAACACCCAGGTGAATCATCTTCCACATTATACACTCCTCAACCACAGGTGAATCATCCTCCACATTATACACCTCCTCAACCACCCAGGTGAATTAATCCTCCATTATACGCTCCTCACACCCAGGGGAATCTCCTCCACATTATACACTCCTCAACACCAGGTGAATCATCATCCAATATATCACACCCTCAAATACAAACACCCAGAGCTGAATATCAGTCACCACATTATACGTCCTCAACCACCCAGGTGAACTCATCCTCCACCATTATACGCTCCTCAACCACCAAGGTGAATCACCCACCTACCACACAAAGGTCAGAGAGGAAAGAAATAACACGAGAGAAAAGGGAACGTGAGAAGAAAGGTGTGAAATATGCAAAGAGGGTACGTCCTCAACTCACCAGGTGATAATGCTCCACATAGACGCTCATAAACCACCCAGGTGAATCATCCTCCACATTTTACACGCTCCTCAACACCAGGTGACTATCCTCCACATATAAAGCATCAACCACCCAGCGTGTTGAATAATTCCTCCACATTATACACCCTCATAAACCCCCAGGTGAATCATCTCCCCATAGACAATCCTCAACCACCCAGGATCATCCTCCACATATTAACACTCCTCAACACCCAGGTTGAATCCATCTCCATTATACACTCCTCAACCACCCAGGTGAATCATCCTCCACATTATACACCCTCCTCACCCACCCAGGGGAATCATCCTCCACATTATACACTCCTCAACCACCCAGGTGAATCATCCTCCACATTATACACTCCTCAACCACCCAGGTGAATCATCCTCCACATTATACACTCCTCAACCACCCAGGTGAATCATCCTCCACATTATACACTCCTCAACCACCCAGGTGAATCATCCTCCCCATTATACACTCCTCAACCACCCAGGGGAATCATCCTCCACATTATACACTCCTCAACCACCCAGGTGAATCATTCTACACATTATACACTCCTCAACCACCCAGGTGAATCATTCTACACATTGATTCACATAGAACTGGATACACTCCTCAACCATCCAGCCAAGACTTACCAACACATATCATTTGAACCAAGACTTACCAACACGTATCATTTGAACCAAGACTTACCAACACGTATCATTTGAACCAAGACTACCAACACATATAATTTGAACCAAGACTTACCAACACGTATCATTTGAACCAAGACTTACCAACACATATAATTTGAACCAAGACTTACCAACACATATCATTTGAACCAAGACTTACCAACACGTATCATTTGAACCAAGCCAAGACTTACCAACACATATAATTTGAACCAAGACTTACCAACACATATCATTTGAACCAATACTTACCAACACGTATCATTTGAACAAAGCCAAGACTAACCAACACGCATAATTTGAACCAAGCCAATACTAACCAACACGCATAATTTGAACCAAGCCAAGACTAACCAACACGTATCATTTGAACCAAGCCAAGACTAACCAACACGTATCAATTATGGGGTATTGTGTGTAGGCCAGTGACAGACAATCTGAATTGAATCCATTTTTAAATTCAGGCTGTAACACAACTTTCTGAAGGCGCTGTTTGTGTCTGTCCCTGACGTCTAACCCTGGTCCATCTAGACATCAAGCACCGGCGGATCCCCCTGCTGTTCTTTGCCAACAAGATGGACGTGAGAGACGCCCTGTCTTCAGTCAAGGTCTCCCAGCTACTCTGTCTGGAGAACGTCAAGGACAAGCCCTGGCACATCTGGTAGGTGGACTAGTTATTTGCACCCACAATCCATGTTTCTAGACCAGGACCAGGATTCAGTCAGTTACAGTGCATTAGATTTCATAGGGTCTGTTTTGTCCAACCTCCAGAACAGGCCTTTTTTATACGACAAAACCCCCTGCCCTTTTCCAATCGTTGTCGAAGCGTTGGGTCCCTTCGCTGACTTGCTCTTTCGTGTCTGTTTCAGTGCCAGTGACGCTGTGAAAGGAGAGGGCTTACAAGAAGGGGTTGATTGGCTCCAAGGTATGGCAGACATTCCACACTCTCACGGTTTCTCTCAGCTCGCTAAATGTATCTGATTGTTTTACCATAGATGCGCGGAAACCGTAGCTTCATTAAAATCGTGGTTTATTTTCCATTTGACTTCATCTATAGATGAAATGTCGCTGTGAGTATTTGATGTCTGTAGTGTTTTTAGTGCAAGTAGAATGTCTGCTGACCTGTAGCTGACTAAGCAGTAGAAACCCCCCATAAGGTCCTTTAGTCAATGTTGTCCCAGTCGTCTCCCCTTTGGGTCAATGTTCCCCTTCTGCCTGTATGTGACGTGTCTTTTAGGTCCCTATAAACCTTCATAGCTCCTCTATGACCTCTTATAACCCTTCCCCCCTCTTGGAGAACCAAATTGAGATCTGATTGTCCTCCATTTTTTTTTTATCCAGATCAAATCAGAACGATGAGAACGTGAGAGGTTGAGAGAACATCGTCTGGGTGGCGTCATGGCAACACTGGAGTCCTCCGGGCGTTGACCCCCATGGTGTACATTCTCAACATGCCCCCACCCACCACCACCGCCGCCGCCACCACCACCACAGTCTGGATGAAGGACTAGTCTTAGAAACAGCTCCTGGAAATAGATCGTCATTCTTTTTTCAGATCATTCACGTATCTTGCCTCCAATTCCTCTTTTTACCCTCATTTCAAATGACACTACCAATAATCCTGTTTTACATGAAGCATTGTTTAGTTTTTGACTGATATATTACTGTAATGTTTTTTGACTGATATATTACGGTAATGTTTTTGACTGATATATTACGGTAATGTTTTTGGCTGATATATTACAGTAATGTTTTTGACTGATATTTTACAGTAATGTTTTTGACTGATATATTACAGTAATGTTTTTGACTGATTTATTACGGTAATGTTTTTGGCTGATATATTACAGTAATGTTTTTGACTGATATATTACGGTAATGTTTTTGACTGAATATTACGGTTATGTTTTTGACTGATATATTACTGGTATGTTTTTGACTGATATATTACGGTAATGTTTTTGACTTGATATATTACGGTAATGTTTTTGACTGATATATTACGGTAATGTTTTTGACTGATATATTACGGTAATGTTTTTGACTGATATATTACGGTTATGTTTTTGACTGATATACTACAGTAATGTTTTTGACTGATATATTACAGAAATGTTTTTGACTGATATATTACAGTAATGTTTTTGACTGATATATTACAGTAATGTTTTAGACTGATATATTACAGTAATGTTTTTGACTGATTTATTACGGTAATGTTTTTGGCTGATATATTACAGTAATGTTTTTGACTGATATATTACGGTAATGTTTTTGACTGATATATTACGGTTATGTTTTTGACTGATATATTACGGTAATGTTTTTGACTGATATATTACAGTAATGTTTTTGACTGATATATTACGGTTATGTTTTTGACTGATATATTACAGTAATGTTTTTGACTGATATATTACAGTAATGTTTTAGACTGATATATTACAGTAATGTTTTTGACTGATTATATTACAGTAATGTTTTTGACTGATATATTACGGTAATGTTTTTGACTGATTATATTACGGTAATGTTTTTGACTGATATATTACGGTAATGTTTTTGACTGATTATATTACGGTAATGTTTTTTGACTGATAAATTACAGTAATGTTTTTGACTGACTACGGTTATGCCTACTCTCAAAGCACTAGTTTAATATGTCATCTTCATATTGGGTTCTCCTGGTAATGAACTGTAAACAACCAGCGGGAAAAATATGTATTCTGTAACGTAATATATACTGTAAATGTTTGTTGATTTAAATATACGGTGTGTTTTTGCATAACCTAGCATGCCAGGCTCATAGCATGAAAACAGGAATAATATTATTTATGGAACGCTGCATAGGAACTCTTCATCGAAATTATATATTTTTGTACTACAGTCCATGACTTAATGTGTTGTCAAGCTTTATCTTGCTTAATGGTTGTACATTTTAAACATTGACAGACAGACGCTCTGCAGAAAAAAAAAGGCACAAAGCATTGTAAAAATACAAAACTCAAGACCCCCTTAAGTTTTTTTAAACGTCAGACCTATGAATGAGTCCCTGTATTATTTAGCTAGCGTGGGATGTAGAACTGTTCTGAGTCTTAACGTAGTGTTTACAACGGTTCTGAGATATCCATTTATTTGCATTGTGCTGTTGAAGATATTAGCAGAATTGCTGCAGTGTGTATTTCACTGTGTTGTATCTTGTGTGGACATCTGGAGAGGACAGATGGTATTTTGTTAGAATATTAATCCTCCACATATTGTAAAAAAGAATGTAACATTTTGTTATTATATTTTGATTGATCTACCTTCCGTGATACATGGGAGAATGATAGATTAAAGAAATGTAGTCTCTCTCAATTCAATTTCAATTCCAATTTAAGGGCTTTCTTGGCATGGGAAACGTATGTTAACATTGCCAAAGCAAGTGAAGTAGATAGTAAACAAAAGTGAAATAAACAATAAATATTAACAGTAAACATTACACTCAGAAGTTTCAAAAGAATAAAGACATTTCAAATGTCATATTATGTACAGTGGGGAAAAAAAGTATTTAGTCAGCCACCAATTGTGCAAGTTCTCCCACTTAAAAAGATGAGAGAGGCCTGTCATTTTCATCATAGGTACACGTCAACTATGACAGACAAAAATAGAAAAAAAAATCAAGAAAATCACATTGTAGGATTTTTAATGAATTTATTGGCATATGATGGTGGAAAATAAGTATTTGGTCAATAACAAAAGTTTCTCAATACTTTGTTATATACCCTTTGTTGGCAATGACACAGGTCAAACGTTTTCTGTAAGTCTTCACAAGGTTTTCACACACTGTTGCTGGTATTTTGGCCCATTCCTCCATGCAGATCTCCTCTAGAGCAGTGATGTTTTGGGGCTGTCGCTGGGCAACACAGACTTTCAACTCCCTCCAAATATTTTCTATGGGGTTGAGATCTGGAGACTGGCTAGGCCACTCCAGGACCTTGAAATGCTTCTTACGAAGCCACTCCTTCGTTGCCCGGGCGGTGTGTTTGGGATCATTGTCATGCTGAAAGACCCAGCCACGTTTCATCTTCAATGCCCTTGCTGATGGAAGGAGGGTTTCACTCAAAATCTCACGATACATGGCCCCATTCATTCTTTCCTTTACACGGATCAGTCGTCCTGGTCCCTTTGCAGAAAAACAGCCCCAAAGCATGATGTTTCCAACCCCATGCTTCACAGTAGGTATGGTGTTCTTTGGATGCAACTCAGCATTCTTTGTCCTCCAAACATGACGAGTTGAGTTTTTACCAAAAAGTTATATTTTGGTTTCATCTGACCATATGACATTCTCCCAATCCTCTTCTGGATCATCCAAATGCACTTCAGACGGGCCTGGACATGTACTGGCTTAAGCAGGGGGACACGTCTCGCACTGCAGGATTTGAGTCCCTGGCGGCGTAGTGTGTTACTGATGGTTGGCTTTGTTACTTTGGTCCCAGCTCTCAGCAGGTCATTCACTAGGTCCCCCCCGTGTGGTTCTGGGATTTTTGCTCACCGTTCTTGTGATCATTTTGACCCCACGGGGTGAGATCTTGCATGGAGCCCCAGATCGAGGGAGATTATCAGTGGTCTTGTATGTCTTCCATTTCCTAATAATTGCTCCCACAGTTGATTTCTTCAAACCAAGCTGCTTACCTGTTGCAGATTCAGTCTTCCCAGCCTGGTGCAGGTCTACAATTTTGTTTTTGGTGTCCTTTGACAGCTCTTTGGTCTTGGGCATTGTGAAGTTTGGAGTGTGACTGTTTGAGGTTGTGGACAGGTGTCTTTTATACTGATAACAAGTTCAAACAGGTGCCATTAATACAGGTAACGAGTGGAGGACAGAGGAGCCTCTTAAAGAAGAAGTTACAGGTCTGTGAGAGCCAGAAATCTTGCTTGTTTGTAGGTGACCAAATACTTATTTTCCACCATAATTTGCTAATAAATTCATTAAAAATCCTACAATGGGATTTTCTGGATTTTTTTTTCTCAATTTGTCTGTCATAGTTGACGTGTACCTATGATGAAAATTACAGGCCTCTCTCATCTTTTTAAGTGGGAGAACTTGCACAATTGGTGGCTGACTAAATACTTTTTTGCCCCACTGTATATATACAGTGTTGTAATGATGTGCAAATAGTTAAAGTACAAATGGGAAAATAAATCTCTCTCTGTCTGTCTCTCTCTCTCTCTCTCTCTCTGTCTCTCTCTCTCTCTCTCTCTCTGTCTCTCTCTCTCTCTCTGTCTCTCTGTCTCTCTGTCTCTCTCTCTCTCAGTAGTCAGCTTGTTGTCTTGGCTCATCCATCATCTGTATGGCTCCATAACAGCCCAGTTAGTTCTACAACCACTGCTTCCCCCTCCTGTTTCTCCTGCTGTGTGGAGGATAGGGGACCATTTGGGACCCGTCTTATGAGGGGTAGAGGTGGAGGGGGAGCGCCAGGAAGTAGGCAGACGTTGGAGGATAGGGGACCATTTGGGACCCGTCTTATGAGGGGTAGAGGTGGAGGGGGAGCGCCAGGAAGTAGGCAGACGTTGGAGGATAGGGGACCATTTGGGACCCGTCTTATGAGGGGTAGAGGTGGAGGGGGAGCGCCAGGAAGTAGGCAGAAGTTGGCCACCCCAACAGATTGTCGTCTAGTCTAAACACACAGGATACCCTAAATGAACTGTGTAGCAGACAGCATGGCCAGTAGACCAGACCCTTTCTACTGTTCAGTTCAACAGCATGGCCTGTACACCAGACCCTTTCTACTGTTCAGTTCAACAGCATGGCCTGTACACCAGACCCTTTCTACTGTTCAGTTCAACAGCATGGCCTGTACACCAGACCCTTTCTACTGTTCAGTTCAACAGCATGGCCAGTAGTCCAGACCCTTTCTACTGTTCAGTTCAACAGCATGGCCTGTACACCAGACCCTTTCTACTGTTCAGTTCAACAGCATGGCCAGTACACCAGACCTTTCTACTGTCAGTTCAACAGCATGGCCAGTACACCAGACCCTTTCTACTGTTCAGTTCAACAGCAGGCCAGTACACCAGACCCTTTCTACTGTTCAGTTCAACAGCATGGCCAGTAACAAAACAGACCCTTTCTACTGTTCAGTTCAACAGCATGGCCAGTAGACCAGACCCTTTCTACTGTTCAGTTCAACAGCATGGCCAGTAGACCAGACCCTTTCTACTGTTCAGTTCAACAGCATGGCCAGTACACCAGACCCTTTCTACTGTTCAGTTCAACAGCATGGCCAGTAGACCAGACCCTTTCTACTGTTCAGATTCAACAGCATGGCCAGTAGACCAGACCCTTTCTACTGTTCAGTTCAACAGCATGGCCAGTAGACCAGACCCTTCTACTGTTCAGTTAACAGCATGGCCAGTTAGACCAGACCTTTCACTGTTCAGTTCAACAGCATGGCCCAAGTACAGACCATAACCAGACCCCCTTTC